TCTTGTCAAGCATGTTTTGCATTACCAAAGTAATCTGGTTTTAAGAAATTATATCTAACTTTGTCTTAATAAGATATTACAGCTAATACTGAGCTCGATTTAACCAATAACAACAATAGTTTGCATAATGTTCCAGCAGAGGAACCAGATTATTTTCTTCTTCTTTTAAGAGTGAGACCACTCGCACAACTTCTCAGTTTAAGAGAAAGTCGACTGGTCCCAGTGTTGGAAATAAAGCAGCTGTTTAGTTTTTCATTGTTTTAATAAAAAATGTTTCTGGTTCCTTCATTTAAGACAAAGTCACTGATTATTATTCTGCTGTTTGTTGAGCTGAATTTAAAAATGTGTTAATTAGCAGAAACATTTTTACAATAAGACACAGATTCTTCAAAGTCCACAGAGTTTTTATTGCTTGTAATAAGCACAACTTGCTTGAATTTAGGGCATTTTTTCTAGTTTTATGGCTCATTACTGTCTATCAGTAGCTAGTATTGTTGCTAGTTTTAAGAATTCTAGCCAAGCAAAACTGTCTTACCACATTGGCAGATATATAATACAAGAAGAATTGATTATATTTAGGAATATTTGGCTTGTTTCTACTTGGTCTGTTTTTGCAGTGTAACCAGTTGATTTATTGTAGGAAATTCATTTCGAACTAATGATCAATATTAATATACCACAGCCAGATAAACAGTAATGCATCTTTCTGACTGAGCGCACATCGAATTAAACACATTGTTTTTGGCATCATGGATGAATTTTACCTCCCCAAGGACCAAAATCAGGACAGGAGCTCTGTCTTTTCCAACCTCTGCAGTAGGAGTCTAATTCATATGGTCGGGAGGTTCAACTCCAACTTTCTGTATTTATTACAACACAGACGGTTAACGAGAGCCTTACTTTGGCCCTCCAGACATCCATCATGTGTGTACGAGGGCTACGTGTTGCCTCCGTTTGTGCGGAGACCCTGTGACTCCAGTGTAAATACGCACTACTACATTTCTCACTTTTTCCGTGAGTAAAGGTACGGCTCCACCATATCCACAAAGTCTTTGGGTGCTTTGTATCCGTATCCTGGCATGTCAACGACGGTGAAAGCTGTGCCCACTCTGAAGAAGTTCATCTTCTTTGTGTGACCCTGAGGTGGGAACAGAAAGAGAGACACAATCTCTGAGGAGAGGTCAAACACAAATCCTAATCATTTTAAATGTATTTGTAATCAGATATTGCTAATTTAGACTCATTAGCTGATCGCTGCTACACTGGTGGTGTATGTGAAGAACTAAATAAACAGGTGTTACCAATGCTACTAATTAATGTTCTGTTCCATTCTTGATGGCTCACTGGAAAGGCTCTGCTACACTAAAGTGAAAACTTTATTTCTGGAGCTTTTAGCCATGTTAAGCACTCAGTTCCTGTTCATGGCAGGTATCAGAGCCATACAGTACCTTAGACTCAGCCTCATCAAAGTGAACTGTTACAACTGTCTGTAGACTGTACATGCTAACCACTGCAGGTGGAACAGTCACTCTGTATGTTAGTTAAAACCACTCACTGGAGTTTTGGAGACTCGGACTTCTATCTCAGGCGTCAGGGAGAACAGAGCTTTGATGAGAGACGACTTGCCCACGTTGCTCCTGCCGATGAAACACACCTGAGAACACACACCAGTTGCTCCATCGTCACTTACTCTGTTACTGTGTTAATGCTTGGACGTCTGGATGGTAATTCAAGGATCTGTGTGAGTTTATGCTGAATTATCTTCCTTTAAACGTCTCAGCGAACCAGCACACCTGCTCTGAGTGCAGTACCAACGACCGCCAACTCCCACAGGACACGGCGCCGGCTCATCCATCTCGCCGACACAAGACAGATGGACGGAGGCCGACGCTGCCAGTAAGCCACGAATACATCATCGCCTGACAGAGCGGAGAGGCAGAGCGGGAACTGACTCGGCATGTCGAAGAGCCCCCCGTTGTCCAATCAACACAATGTTCCATTCTGAACCCCCCCGGTGAACACTACTGTCCATAAAGGTTATAAATCTGCTCATTTATTATCAAGTGTCAACTGGTGCTTAATTATGTATGAGGCTGCAGGAGGGTGCAAAGACACTGCGCCACATTCCTCATTTACAGTGTCCGTGTTTCGGGTCGAGGAAGGGCAATGTGAACACCCTCACTTACATACACCTCCTCTTCCTCCTACAGTGGTTCATCTTCAGGGCAATCAATCAGTTTACTGTCAGTCAGCACTAAAGAAACTGGAGATGTTCCACCTTTTTCTTTCCCAATACCTGAATTTTGTATATCAGCTGATACCGCATACCAGCCCAAAACACGTGGTAGAAACAATATATAACATATAGAAATTGACATTTTTTCTTAAAAAACGACTTAATGGATTATCAGAATAGTTGGTGATTAAATGGATATGAATGGATATCCCCATCTTTTCAACCATAGCTTACAGCCGGGCGAGGGTCAGTTAGATTATTCTGGGAGTGGGTTTAATGCTGCAGGGTGAAAAAGTTCTCCACTGGCCACTCTGACAGTGATACAAGATCCACAAGGACTTCTGCTCGTGGCTGAACAAAGAGAGAATAAGAAGTGACTTAAAAAGAACACCCTGCACTCATCCATCTTACATAAGCAGATTCCATTTACTTCTCCCAGTCGTTACACAATCCGACTGTAAAGTGGAGAAGATTTTCAGGATGAGACGAAAGAGAAAATGTATGAGACATAAGATCTGGTGGCACGGTCGTCCACTGTCTGTCCCAGCATGCAAAGCTCCCTCGACAAAGACCCCTCTGTGTTACCACGCCCGCTGCAGACTCATGAATAATTTAAACTGCAGCTTTCTCTCCTGCTACCTGTAGCCTTTAGGGAGCGTTCAGACTGAAAACAGCCCTGAATGGAAACAACGCTCCGGGCTTCAGGTTACCGGAGAGACATGAAATACGACGCAGTCGGAGGAACAGATGCCAAAACACTGCCCAGTACTGTGAGACAGACCACATTAGTGAGGTAAACTGGAGGAAAACAGCATTCATGTGACAGGATCATCTAGCAGGAATGTGCACGTGTGTGACTGATCAACGCAGCATCTTCATAGATTACATCATTGATTACATTGATCACTGATTACATCAGGTAACTAAAGTACGGTTGAATTTGTTTGCCACACAACCCTGCAGTTCTTTGCATCATTTACCATTAATTCCATCTTTATTTTGTACAGTTACTGTTACTGTATAGTAAGAATCATATTCCTTGTTAAATAACCAGTAACAATTAGGACTGCTTACTGAACGGACACACTTTCTCCAGAGTGTTGGTAGCAGTGAACAGGACTAACCTCCGGCTGTTTGAGTGCAGTGATGTGGTCCGTCCTCACTGCAGACGTTTGGAAATCAATCTTATGAGACGGAGAAGAACAGAAGAGCTTTTCTGCTTTAATCATGTCCTCCAAACTGGGATGGAAGAGCTGGAACTGCGTCCTGTCCACGGACCTGAACATGTCATTCCAACAAACCCATTCAGGCAATGAAAGAACACACACACACACACAGTCATGTGGCCTGCAGAAGAGTGCTGGGGATAATACCTGTCCAGGTAGGCCTCCAGATCACTGAAGGGGTACAGCAAGCTTTGGACTTTGTTTGTGGGGAGCGCTCTGACTTTCTGAAGCGAGGCTAGTTTATGGGCGCTCCTCCGGGGAACAACCCGAGCTCCAGGCTGAAGCCACCGACACAGCCGGGGGCCAAACATCTTCCCTGCAGCTGAGAGGGGGACAGAGCCGTTATCACTCACACCATCACAAATCATATTCAACGAGCTTTCACAGGAAGTCTGTCAGTGTTTGACACACGACTGCAGCTGAACTCTAACGCTGACATTCACTCATTTTAATTAGAATCTGAGTGAATGCTCTGTGTCAGCCCTGCACTATAAGGTTAAATTACATTAGAATCTTGATATAATGGTTTCCATGGTTGTTCAACAAACAGAATCATGTGAGAAATTTACCTAAAACAGGTATTTATAACGGGGTTAAAGGAGATTTCTGCAGCTAAAGAAGAGGACACAGTGAAGATGTTTCAGGACACACAGGACACATGTCTGAAGAGTGCATTAAAGTGCCTACCGTGGTAATAATGTGTGACCTGTAGAGCTACAGCTGTACAGATACGGTCGAGTCTTCTCCAGAGAACGTGGGTTTTATATTATGTATCCAGGACTGACAGTATAAGTCTCTGTATATTCAGCTGATATGGTGCGTTCTGTTCAGTTGAGGAAACAACAAAGAAACCAATAAAATCCTCTGTTAATTTATGAGAACGTATCACCACGATAGCATTGTGGAGAAAATCCACAACCTTTACAAAGGTAACACCTGTTATCCGCTGATTATTGAGAACTTACAAGTGAGATAACCCAACCCTCAGGCCTGAGGGGGGTATCCTCTGTTATTGAGAACTTCATCAGTGAGATTCTTACAGTGAAGATAAATCCAACCTTATCCTCTGTTATTGCGAACCTTACAGTGGGGAGAATAAATCCCAACTTTTATCCTCTTGTTATGGAGAACCTTACAGTGAGATAAATCCAACCTTATGTTCTGTTATCGCTACTGTCTTCTCTGCATGTCCTCCATGTTGTGTGCACCCTTCAAATGAGTCCGACTGAAACAACTCGAGGGTTCCGCTTCAATAACGTGTGTTTCCTGTTCGGATATAACTTAGTGTTGGGATATTTATTGGAATGATTTCATTTTATAAAGCAACTGAAATAAAGTCACCGAAAAGTATCGTTTTTTATACGAAATATTGCTTTCTCACGTTGTGATATAGCCAGAAATGTATCGATTTTTATTCATCTTGCTGTTGTTGTTGTTGTTGTTGTTGTTGTTGTTATTATTATTATTATTAGTTAGTAGTAGTAGTATGTATGTATGTAATACCAATATAAAACACAAAACAGTACTGCTTCTAATTTCATTAATATACTACTACTGGTCAATACTACATTATTTATTATTAATAATAATAATAAAAATAATAATAATACCAAATATAATTAGTATTATATAATTATTGTTATTACAGTGCTTTCCCTTCTATTTGTATTGCTGGAAACATTCCTGTAATGTAGCTGCTTCCACTGGTAATTCCCGTAGCAGACAGGTAATAATGCTCACCTACAGATTCCACTAGAACCCCCTCTGACCCTGCTTGAATTTTAAAACACAAATAAGAGACAGAGAAATAATGAGGGAAACAGTGCACATTTTGCACAGCTCAAGCTATAAGAGCCTTTATTTTAACAGTCTTGTTTTCTCTGAAACTCATATTAGAAAAGTGTGAGACCTGAGACTCAGTCAACTCCAGTAAATGAGGCTTTGTGAGGCAGGCTAACACGAGGTGATCGACATCTCTCCCTTTTGCTATTCTAACATTTGCACAGGGCATTGGGCCATAAATTAATGAGC